TGCCAACTTGGGCCAGTGAAGCAACGTCCTCCACAACTAGACTGAAGAACAAAAACGACAGCAACTTGTCTGTTTCCCTTCCCCCAATTCCCCAGCGTTGTTCTCATCCCCCAATAAAAATCTTTAAAAAAAATAAAATACCACCTCCTTCACTCTTTATCCCCTTACCCATGCTTTATTTTTCTTTACAGCACCCCTGATATATATTTTAAATATGCATTTTAAATATAGGTGCATATAATTATTTTGTCTTCCATCAAGAGGGAAACTCGCGAAGAACAGGGATTTTGTTCTTTATAAACTGCGGGATTGGCAGGGCATAGAACAGGGCCTAATGTGTACTAGCAATCATGAATGAATAAATCTATCTTCCCTTTACATTTTGAAGCATTTTTTGCTTCTACCTTCTACAAGAGTAGAGGGGAAATTAGTTTTCCTCCCCAACACTACTGTTATAATCCCACCCAGGCTTTTAAGCAATGATGCTTTTGTATGTGAATATACACTTTCCTTATTGCAAAGGCTAAACAAATGTTAATCATTACTAGAGTGATTGATACATGGGTTACTGTGTTTAACACTCAAGCAAATCACAAAGTGAATCCCACCAGGGTCCTCTCTGCGCAGAGGAAGCAGTTTGGGATTACGAGGGAGTAAGGAAACAGGTTTGAGGAAGAAAGAAGTGGAATGTTCTGCTTAGGAGTCCTGAATCGAAACGGGTATTGTAAATGTAATTAAACATGTTTTACAGTCTTACATACCTCCTCACCCTACCATCTCACACCCACAGCAGTAAAAACACATTTTGCATTTTCAAGAGATAGACATAATTTCAAACAAATAATTTTTTTTTTGGCAAATCAACCTTTAAGGGTGAATTTATTATCCTTCCTCTTTTATTACTAAGTAAATAAATGAAAGATTAAGCTAAATTGTCATTTTCCCTGCAACATGGGCAGGGTTTTATTCTCTCCATAATCATGACACTAATACATTTTGACTCAGGTGATCATTTTCATTTAATGGGGACAGGGCAGGAGGGGGAGAGGGGCAAACCCATTCCTGGATGATGCAAGTGGATGAGCCTGCTTACTAGAATAAAACACCTTTTTCTTTTCATCGTACAGACCAGTCTCATCCCACATATCCCGTTCAGAGGATGCTAATATAAACCTTGCCCACCTCTCTTAGCCCATCTTCCTTACTCAGACAGTTTCCGAGCAGCTCTCTGATGGAGACACAATCTTCAGTTTGCAGGACAAATTCTGCCACAGCCTGCCCTCCTGGTACATGGCCCCTCACGGTCTCACTTTTGACACTGTCCAGGACAACTCCCCTGATATCTTTAGGCTTTCCTGGCACACCGAAGATGATAAAGAGGCCCAGACAATCCTCTCCTATCAAGTTACAGAATTCTTCCAGTTTATCAAATCTACTTCTCTTCCTGGAAGACTCTTCTGCCCGGGGTTCTGGATGGGAGAGGTCACCAGGCTCAGATTCCACAGGACGGAAAGAAGACATCTGCAGAGTCTGGACGGCCAGCTGAAGCCTTATGTGCTTATCGGGTCCCCAAAAGGTCCAAATCCAGTCTGCCCCAAACAGTGAGGCCTGGTGCTTGGTCATCTTGGTGGTGGTGAGCTGCCCGTCAACTCCCTTTTCTTGGCAGCAGGTGATGAAGTGAATTAAGAAGATCTCATTCAAAGTGTTTGGAGCTGGGCAGAGATTGCTCCGAGGATCTGAAAAGCCAAGGTACTCCTGCACTTTCCGAGCTGCGTGGACTGTAGCTCCACTGACAGCCTCACAGAGGCTGAGAGCTTCTTCACTGTCCTTCAGAGCCAATTGTTGCGATGGTTTTTGCCCCATTTTCTCTGCACCCAATCAATACTGCTTCCCGATCTCAAACATGTGAAGCTCACTGAGAATGACTTCTTTTTCAGAGTAAAAGTCTTACAGTGAAGTCACATCTGTTAACGCGATCTGGGTTTTCTAGCTCTACAGTTTACTTGTGACTAAGCATATATATATATATACATACAGCTAAACAAACAGGTCTCCCTATTTGCCAACGGGGTGTGCTGTACTCATATAGATTCCTGCCGGTTTATGAAGTTAGAGATATTAACTTTCACAAAAACACATCTGTTCTTCTCT